TATTGTTCAGCACTGCTATAGAATGTTTCGAAGCGCCTTTTCTATTTTGGTTATAAACCCCTCCTTTTATTAGCTCTCTTAAAACCCCTAAAGAAAATGTATAAACCCAGGGCTTATAAGCGACATATTACGGTTGTGGAATTTCTACCCAAAGATAATTTCCGCTTTTACTTCGTTTTGTTTTTGTGCAGACCAAACACAGGACGGTCTCCTTTTGAAGAAGAAAAATCTGATCTTCTGCACAAGTACAACAGGATTTCACTGGAAGATGCAGGTAAGGGAGACGGGCCAAGTCAGGTTACCTATTGTATTTACCACCAGGAAGCCGTGTGAAATCAGAAGTGCTGTCCGCGTGTTTTACTGTGATTTGTTTGAAATCTAGTTTACTGCACGGGTGCCAGCCCGTCCTAACTTGTAAAAGATAGGCGAATATTCCTGGAGCTAAATTCTTAAAAACTGTAGTTATCTTCAAAAAGAGAAATAAAAATTCGTTGTCGTCTCGTCCTCCATAAAACGTCGCTTTAGTGGGTTTCATGTCCTAGTCGTGCAGTGGACGTTAAAGAAATGTACTAAAAAGCGTATTGTACGTGTAGAGCTATTGTTTTGTTCATTAATTGAATTTTTTGATGTTCTCGCTGCCGCCGTCGTTGTGGTTGCAGAGCTTTTGAAATGAAAGCCAGTAAATAAAAAAAATTCTTTTGTTGTAACTTCATGTTTTGCTAATCGTTTAACAGGTTACACGAAAAGTAAAACTTGTAAAATGTCAAATACTTTGATTGGTCAGGAACTAAATACTGTTGTATACTTTTGATTCATTAGAAGCTGGATGGAAAGCACAGTACGAAAGAACCAAAGATCACTGTATTCACGGATTAGGCTGAAAGACTGGACCTTCTTGTAAAAGTAAGTGAAAATTTTATTACAGTGGTGTATATCTTAGAAGTCTCCTTAAGAGACCACGAGGAAGTGACTTGACGAAATGATTTAATCCTTCTTTAAAAGAATAACTCCGCCATATTGTTAATGAATGAACGAATAAACTTTATGAACGTGTCAATACAACATCTAGCAGAGGGGAAACCCTCATTTAATAGGGGACACCTAAAGCGCGATACAATGACATTCAGTTGCAATAAAACGAATTTTTTAAATTTACAGCGAGCACGATCCAATGAAAAGTTATCAAATTGTTAGTGGCTGGCTTTAAAAAAATACGTAACGTTGATGGGTAATGCAGTCCATGATTAAGATATGGTCATGCTATCTTTCTTTATCCCATCCCATCCTAGCCCCTCCTATCCCATCCTATCCTATCCTATCCCATCGCATTCCATTCCATTCCGTCCTATCCTGACCTGTTCATTAGAAAGAAAAGACAGCATAATAGCATTCCAATATCAATACCTTATATGTTTACTTGGTATTGGCCATTTTGAGGTTGCGGGTCAGGTTCAGGTTGTTGATATGTCGAGAGCACTTTGATCCCTTTTGGGACGCTGTGGCTTCACTCATTGGCTGGTACGAGGTTGGGCAAGAAACTGGGTTAAAATTTCTCTCGCAAAACAGTCCCATAGTGCAATTGGACTGGCCACTCTGTGGTCAAGAGTGATATTTCACATATATTTACATGAAGTCAAATGGCAACCATGAGAAAAATGGCTAATCATTGGATCGATCACCGTTTCTGGAAAAACTCCCAACCTCCGAACCCCTAACCCATGTTTCTTTCCTAAAGCCACCCGTTAGGGAAAAACGAGAGTTAAGGTGGGTTGGGAGGGACCCAGAAACTGTGAATAATTCAACGAGATCCCGTTTTTGTTTGTTCGTCAGCCGGCTGTCGCATTACTCAGATCCATTTATTGTGTGGTGGAATTATTCCTCTGTTGTCTGCGTTGGAGATGGCCATGGCTAAAAATGCTGATAAAATTGGTCTCAGGTAAGTAACTCTTAACCCCTTCGCTTCCAACAGAACCGATTATCAAAAGCATGAATCGCTCTAAAAGCCAAAGTACTGCTAAAAAGGTTATTTAACCAATAGACAACACTTTCTATGGGTTTACTGGCGTGATAACCCAAGCGGGATGTTGGGAGAACACGCGAAAAGCTGTAAATCACGAGCCGAAGGCAAGTGATTTACAAGCTTTTCGAGTATTCTCCCAACATCCCAAGTGGGTTATTACGCCGGCAAACCCATAGAAAGTGTTGTCTCTTGCTTAATTATAAAATAACTGTAAGTTTTCTGAGTTTACCGGCACAATAAACCATACGTTTTTAATCAATCAGAACGCGCGTACTATGTTAGTTATTTTATAAATTTGAATGGTCATAAAATGTATTCACAGTATGTGTTAGCGGTTGATATTTTATCCGTCTGGCGACTTCCGTTCCCGAGGCGTGAGTTTTGGTCGTGTCATCGTGTTTGCTTCTTGTCGCCGAGCTGTTTTCCTTTTTCCTTTTTGTTGCAGCAAGGAAAGTCGATCTCTGAGAGTAGTCCGCGTTTAGATAACGGTCAGCGGCTGGTAGGTTTGCGTTATCCAGAGCAACTCATACCGGAAGCTACATTGTTTCTGAAGGAGCAAAAGTTACTCGACGCCGTTATAGTAAGTAAATATTGATTTGTGTAAGGAAAAGTGTAAAAAATTCTCATCACGCACAAAAATGTTTCCTTTTGGCCAAGCACTCATGTTAAAGAACAGTTCCCGACCGGTCTTTAATTCTAGAAGCTTTGAACGATTCGATAACCGCACTCAGCAAGAAAGAATGATCTAGCTCATTCTCGCTTGCACTCAGTCATCATCAAGAACTCCTCTTAACCCTAAGTCCCAGGAGTGAGCAACATTAATTTTCTCCTAACAATATAAACTGCCTTCCTACCCCTCCCCTAAGCCAGCATTAACGCGTACTTCTCACTTAGGGCAAAATGTTGGCTTAGGGGAGGCGTAGGTGGGCAGTTTCCTAGTAGCGTATAATGATCCACAACATCAATACGTAACCAAGAGAAAAGGTTATAACAATTAATAAAATGTCACCATAAGTTGATCTTTTGTCAAATTCTCTGTTTTAATTTTGTAAAGACATACTTGAAGAAAAAGTCTGGAGATTTTATTTGTCTCTGGATATTGGGTCTTCGTAGTACACAACAGAGAATAAGTTTTATTTTAACATCGCAACATGATCTTGTTACTTATCTGATATTTATTTCAAATTTTTAATAACCTGCGAGTTCAGCTTCCTCTCATTACCCCCGTTTCAGGGGACGTTAGCGAAAGTCTGGTTAAAATTGTTGTCATACTTTGCTACTACTTCCAGGCTTCAACTTTGAACCTTGTCAGGTATTGTTTTGACTTGAACGATTATCTGTTTTTTTTCCCTTTATTTTCTAGGACAAACAAAATGGTGTTTTGAGTTCAACAGAACCTTCTAAACAGCCATCAAAAGCCAGCCGAGCGTATGAGGAACCGGAAACGCCCATCAACCAAAGGACGTTAACTAAGGCTACTACCCCTCCTGTAACTATAAAGAATTTCTTTAAACCGAAGACTGTTGAACGATGGCCTGAGAGTAATAAAAGTGCATCAGAAGATCAGGATGTTAAGGAAAAGAGCGGGGAAAATGACTGCAATGAGATCGAAAATCAAGACATCGAGAACAACGTCAAAAACAGCACGGATGACAAACAAGCAACGACTAAAGTAAGTAAGAAGGAAGTCAAATCAATTTACTTTAGATCGAAGGGAAGAGAAAATGAAGAGCTCCCGGAAAATAAAGGACCTTTCAAAGGTGTTGCTAAGTGTAATGGTCTTGTGCACCACCTTTCGGAACCCCTTTCGAAAGAGAACCTTCAAGGAAAGAACTCTTTGAAACGAACTAGTTCTGAAGCGTCGTCAAGGGCGATTAAGCGACAGAAGCAATCGAGCATTTTGTCTTCGTCTGGGAAAAAGACTGACAAAGATTCTAAGGACCTAATGGAGAAGGAAATTCCCTGCCCTGTTTGTGGGGAGAAATTTGCGAGCGGATTGAAAATTCTGATATCAACGAACACATCGATAATTGTCTTATTAAATCATAATGAAAATGAATACTAGTTATTTTTGAATCACAATATATGACATAATTAGCAATAGTATTGTTACATGTAACTGATATAAGTTTAGTTATGAAATTATAACACGTTTATGGTTCTCCAATTTTTTTTATCGAAATCTTTTCAAAGAAACAAGCTTTTGCTACATCCCTCTGATTCTGCACTAAAACCTGTGTCAATCCGTAGATTTACGCTCCCATGTACAGTCGAACTCCGCTTTTCGAACGCTCCCTTAATACGGACACCATCATTATTACAGACGGTATTCTTTGTCCCTGGGGAAAGAAAGCCCCTACATTTCCTCTAAAATTTGTCTAGAATTTTCTATTACTTGAGGACGGCTAAAAATTTGTAGATGACCGTTCCATTCACGTACAATTTTCGAAGCNAAAATTTCTCACTTACGTAATACGTCAAATTTCATCTAAAATTTCGGAAAAATAATACTCAAGCCTTTGTAATTTCGAAAAGACTCAAGTTCCCCAAGGATGACTAAACAGATACAAATTTTACGCCCCGTTTAGAATGCATTTCTAGATATCTAAAAAGTTCTCTGGATAGCCTAAAAAGGAAACCATCGTTGGGTGCCCCGATTAATAACTTATTCCTTTCTATAAACGGCAAAACTAGCCAACAAAATAAAAAAACCTGTACTAAATATGATTGATAGCCCAATACATTCTGAATCGAAAAAAGCTATAATTTAAGGATATGACAAGAATTTTGTCAGCCTCAAATCGGCAGAAAAGTAAGAATGTTTACTTACTTATTTGCCAGAAAAAAAAAAACAGTGATATACATACAGACATGCAATATATTATAAAAAATGTTATTTAAAGATTAAAGAGACGTAAATTGTAAGTAAAAGAATTAAAAGTATTTTTCTGACGAGAAAGTTCAAACAGAAGCCTAAGGGCTTATTATATGAAGAATATTCACTCGGTGGGTCGGAAAATAACATTCTAAAAAAAAAGTGTTTTGGTCGATAACACAAGGATCAATTTTGTTGTCGACAAACCACAACTCTATTTTCCTAGTCTGTGTGACAATCTTTGATAAGTAACGCTAATATCATCGCCCCTTTCTCGACAAATAAAAATAAAAAAAACTTTTAGAGTTTACAAATGCAACTTCCCGCACATTGCGTTTTACTAAGTTGCAGCTTACTATTTGTAAGTAACTTGTAAGAAAATAGTAATCGAAATCTTTGGATCACAGAACTCTTTGACAGTTTTGTAAAAAATCCCAAACTGTCGGTAACCTAGGATCGTTGCTATTTAGAGAGTTCATGGTCTCAAAAGTTAATACACACTTCGAGTCCTTAGTAACTGCCAAACGTGATCATTCGAACAAGGGTATTGAAAAACCAAAATATTTTTTTAAATGATTGTTTGTTTTGCATTTTCAGCTAATGCGCTCATGCGATTAAAAACGATAAAGTCAGGGACGAAGAATTATACCCATATTTTTCTATTCTTGACTTTTATCGTCAAAAATTGAAACTCTTCCTCGTTCCGTGGTTTCTATTGTCGGTCGCGTGATATGCGAGATCAGACAATAAATCTGAGACACACGAACCATTAGACGAACTTGAATAAATTAGTTTCGCCTAAATAGAAGATGGCGCTCACGCTTAGTTCGCTGGTAACCAATGTGAAATCGGCCTTCCAAAACCACTCAGGTTCCGTAAGAAACACAACTGTCGCCTTGCTGGTGTTTGGCCTGAATGCCGTCGTACAGAGTGAAGATTTCTTCCAATGTCCTCCAGACAACTTTGTTTTCTACGCCAGCTGTTTCTTCATCATTCCTGCTTTGTTTTTGTTTATGGCGACGATTTTTCTTCACAGCGGATTTTGGGACCATGTTCGTGGATGCTGTAATTACGAAGGTCCGTACAAGCGAGGAGCAAAACGGTACTGCTGTTGTTTGTTTCCAAGATGGCCTTGCAGCAAAGCTCTTGTGGAAGTCGTATTCCAAAGTTCTCTGTCTGGGTTCATGTGGATTTTCTGGGCGCTCTTGCAGCGTGACTATTACATCTGCGCCGCTCTCGGAGGAACGAAAGCAGCTAAATTAATCAGTACCTCAGCGGCGCTAAAGTTACAAATCGAAGCAGATTACGCGAACGCGGGAAACAATTCACAGACGGCAGCGTTGCTCTTGCTAGCTGGAGCGTTACTTACAGGTTTCGTTGTTGTTTCAGTTCAGCGATGCTGTTATTAGCGTGAGTTCGGCACTTTACCGAGTCCGTACCAGTATAAGAAGCTCGAGTCAGAAGCTGCTGTGGAGGCCTTTAACTGAACATGGAAAAACTCGCGAAAGGACAAGGCAAGAGGCGAGCAGATATGTACTTTGCCGCTATGAACAAGAAAAACCCGTCTGACATCCTTAAGAGTGCCTATGAAAATCTCGTCGCTGTGAACAAATTTGACGAGGCGTTTCCATCTTTGGAAGATTATCAGGAGCTCCAAGCACAGGCGGTTATTGGCATCTCCAGGGATGATAGAGTCTCCAAGACAGAATTGCTGCGCAGAGCCAACATGCCATGCATTAAGGCACTCATCATGAAACCAAAGCTGCGGGGTGTTGGACATGTGGTTCGAACGGACGACGCGCGCCTTCCGAAGATGGTCTTCTTCTCTGACCTGGCTACCGGTGCGCGTAGCATTAGACACCCACTGAAGAGGTTCAAACAAAAAAACTGAATTGAATCCCATTCTCGGATGAGAAACCCTCACCGCAAACCCCAGCGCCCGGAGAATGGCCGTCCACAAGGGCGTTCAAGGCTTTTTAAAAAGCGGCTGTACAACCTCGACCAGGCCTTTCGGAAGGCCGGGTTCTAGTTGCGCGAAGGCTGCGTCTTAGCGATTGAATCGATCTAAACGGTTTCTTCGAGTTGTTTAGGGTAGGCCATTATAACTGATTTTTTTTGTAAATTTACTAAGGATGGGGAGTGGAAAGTAACGGACAAAGAACTACTCAGCAGCCAAGCGTCAACAGGAAAAGGTCAAGCAAAGCCTTTCCCCGCCATACCGCCTGTAATCGGAAAAACAGACGAGGATATCAGCAGTGACGAAAAATACGAGGAGGAGAGCTTTCGATCCAAACAACTCTTTTTATTTGCTTGGCAAATAGCTAAAGGAATGGTAATTACTATATGATTATTTTCTGAGCGACGTTGCTTCGATTCAGTTTCTGTTTTCGTCATTCAAAGAACGGTTTTAGACTATTTCACAAGCAAGAAATAAAGGACATATGGGTTAATTTTCTAGATGAAGAATGATTTGATTTTTTTTCATGAGAATGTCAAATTAGTTTTAGTGGAGAAATTGTCTTAGTCAATCGAACCAAATATGGCATGTTTCGTATAATCTTGAATCAGTCGTTGACATCAGTTCAGTTCAGTATTTTTCTTTTAGTTTTTTGCCCCTAATTTTCTCGCCTTCACCCATGCCTTTTTAGGCAGTAATAGCCCTGTAACTGAAGTATTATGGTACTTATTTTCATTTTTTCTCCTTCCCTCTTAAAATTAGATTCATCTCACAATCTTGTTCAGAGAGACCTTGCTGCCCGTAATTATCTTGTTGGCCATGACAACCCAATCAAAGTGTCAGACTTTGGGTTGATGAGACAAATCTATGAAGATGTGAGCAGCTCAGCGAAGTCCAAAAAACTTCCTGTGAAATGGATGGCCCCAGAATCACTCTATCAAGGCCTTTACACTACCAAAAGTGATGTGTACGTATAAAAGATTCCCACTCTTTTTAACACATTTCGATACATTGCTTCTCAGAAAACCTCAGCTACCCTAAAAATCGTGATCAGTGAGTTTAATTCAAACCGATCTAGAATTCCAGTGGTGAATATAGTGGGTAATTTCGTACTTGTCAGCTCAATTTTGACTCAGGACTATATATAGTTTTCATAGTCAATAGCGAGAGCGGCGTCTGTTGAATTCTGAAATCAGAGTGTATGTAAAGATCACTTAGAAGCTTTCCTTTGCCGGGAAAAGTTTACGAATATGCGACCGACCCGTCACGTAAATTGGTATTGATTTCCCTACTCTATTAACCTTGCTAGGCCATTTGCTAAGGGCTTTGAGCATCTGAGGCCTGGTGTCATAGGGTTCAGTCAAGCGCGAAGGCACGGAAAGGTGGAGACACGCCCTTTTCCCCTTAAGTTCGTCAAGTAAAAAGAAGAAGAGGAAAATTTATAGTGTTTATGCAGTGGGAATGTTCATGACCTTTGTGCTTTTCTCTGTAGTTGGTCTTTTGGTGTTGTTCTTTGGGAGATGGCTACATTGGGTGAGTAGACCGTCACACACTGATCATGTTACCTTCCAAGGGGAGTGAGATCCCAAGAACTGTCCTCCCTAGTGCCACGGGGGATATGACTTGAATAGTGCGACTAGCCTGATATTAAAGGACGACACTGGGACTTTTAAAAGAGTGAGTCCTTATTAAATAAGGTTATTGCCATCAGGAAACAGGCTGATACCTGATCAGTTGTATTTGTGGCAAGCCATGTCCGTAGTTTTTTTTTTTTTTGGTTTGAACTAGGCTTTATGTCTGAGATTATAAATAAGTGATAATCGGCATCAAATATGTACGCATTATAGAGAGCATTATTACTAAGCACCATGCTTTCTTTCTTTCTTTCTTTCTTGCTTTCTTCCTTACATTCAAATGCAACTCGGACCCCTATTCAATCACTATTCTTTTGCAAAACTGCATTATTGAGTGCGAGGGAATGAAGACTCGTGGACGTTGACATTTCCAGTAGAAATCTATCCAATGGAATGAGCCGTATTTTCAAATAATAACATGTATATTTTTTCTTTTTCATAACGTGATCAGGAGGCGTACCATACCCCACGCTGACCAACTCAGAGTTGTATCGACTGCTTGGCACTGGTTATCGCATGGAAAGGCCTGACATGTGCTCCGATGATGTGTACGTTTCTTGATCAGAATCGTCTTAAAGTTTACAAATAGATTCGATTTTTCCGTGCGTCTTCATAGTTATAAATTATAGCAATGAAAGTTGCAGAAGACAAGTCGGTTGGCAATTTTGACGTTTTCTTCGATCAAATTGGTTACTGAACAGACGGACGGCAAAATCTTAGCTTAAATATTTGTTTCATCCAGTAGTATGATAGTGTTAAGACTTTAACAGAGATCGACAGCAAGGATTTTTTCTCCATGTTTGATATTTCGTTATGGTAATTGATTAAAACTAGGTATTCTTTCTCTTACCTGGTAACAGCTTTATTAGCAAAATTTGGCGATGTTGGCTAATTCTTTCAACTTGGAAAACTTTAAACAACATTTCCAGTAGACCATTCCAAAACCATCTACCACGCGAGGGTACTGTCGCTGTCGTGTGTTCTCTCGCGTGCCGCTCGCGCGTGTACTTCTCACGAGATCGCCCCAAGTGGAGAGCTTGCTCGCAGGCTAGGCAAGAAACCGACAAGCCTAATGATCCGGCGTGAGTGGTTCCCAGCTGGTCTAAAGGAAAAACTATTCTACTAAATTGGGGTATCTTACGTCAAATAGAAACGGTTTCTATGTATGTAATAATGGAATGGAACTCTTACTAACTTAAATTGTTGTTGTTATTGTTTTTTATTCATAACAGATATGAGCTGATGACTGACTGTTGGAAGGAGGAACCACGCTCTCGTCCCAGTTTCTTTCAGATGATCGAAAAACTGGAGGTGATAATGCAGAGGGATGCACCATACTTGGATCTAAGCAAACGTAATGAAGATCATCCGTATTACAACGTGCCCCCTGAAGCTAGTGGTGACTAATGTGAAGAAGGAGCTTCCCCAATAATCAGACAATTTCAGACCAAACGATTATAAACAGTTAACTAGTAATGATTATCGAGAAAGCAATGGTAAAAAAGTTTGAAGGAAGTAAAAGTAGAAGCATAACAAAAACCGTAGTAGCAGTCAGTAGTATTAGTCAGCGAGATCATAAGCGCGCACAAAGTTTTGGCAGAGGAGCTGCAAAGCCGCTCGGCTTGGGGAAGGGAAGGAAAGGTTTTGAAATTCCCTTGCAGCTTCACAGCCAAAACTCTCACACAGGCGAAAAAAAAAAACAAAAACAGGCCAGCTGATCTGACAGGCAGACCAAGCGTACTATGGTTGTTGCATGTTGTACAACAGGGAACTTAAGAACCACGACGAAGTTCACGACGACGACGTTTGTTGACTGGGAAAAGACTGGAACGAGAACGTCAGTTTCGGCGGCAAAAAGAAAAATTAAGATGCAGTCAGTCGGTAAGTCTACGACGGCGACACTGAATGTAAACACAAATGTAAAACTGTGATGTTCGTTCGCAACAAAGTTTTTTGAAATGGCGTCTTTTAAAACAATGCAAGATCTTATTTTTTAAAACCGTACGTCTAATTCCTTTGACGATGAAGAATTTTTTGTGTTGTCTGACCTTTTCGAGTGGAAAAACGCCTTCCTTCTGCACAAAGATTATTCAACTTTCAACCTGAATGAGAATGATTGACCGAGTCCGAGTGTCTGTCAGAGTTTAGATTTGGAAAAAGAGACATTCTGATACATGTGATAGCTGTTTCCCATATAAAGTTTATTTCCTCTATATTATAATTTGCCTTACCTAAATACGTACAAGTAAATTTCTCACTTACGAGTTCGCTCGCTCGGCTTTCACAGCTGTTGTCATTCTTCGAAGTAAAAACAATTCATTATAGTACACTTTTAGCCGAATTTTCAATCAACATCGCTTGTTAGGAGAAAAAAGGAACGATACCTGGATTTACGAGGATGAGAAAAAACAAAGGACTTCAAAAATCGCTTAAAACAGTGGATTTGTACCTGCCGAAGCTTGTGGATTGCAGCACGACGCGATTGTACTTTGTTTGGCGTCGTCGACGACACCACGACGACGAAATTTACTGGTCGCGCTTGCGCAGTACACTGAAACTCACTTCCGGTCGTCGTCGTGGTTCTTAAGTTCCCTTTTGTTAAATAGAGGTTCGTTAAATCGAGGTTCCACTGTAGTTCAGTTCATACAGGGAAAAAAAGCGTCCTTTCCAATTCCTGTCCTTCAGGCCCCGGTTGTTCAAACGTTGGATAGCGCTATCCACCGGATAAATCGCTATCCAGCGGATAAGTGTTATGCTTTCCAACTGCGTTATCGAGTGGATCGAAATTTATCCAGTGGATAGCGCTATCCACCTTTTGAATAGCCTGCGAGCCGCAGACGTATTTCCGATCGTCGCCTCTCTCCCTTCCGGAAAAAGCGTCTGCTCCCCGCAGACTATCTGTTCAACATCTGAAGCGAGATTGGTTTGTGGTCACGCACGGTCTCGGCACTTACTGATCCGGCCCATAAGGTAGTAGCTAACCTGACCTGGTATTTATCACACCGTCACAAAAACGAACTTCCTTACTGACTGAAACCTGCGTCAGTTCTAGCCGAAAGAGAGCTGAGAAGCCGTGTGGCATGCAACTTCACTTTGTGCGAAAGTCAAACATCTGTCAAACAAATGTGACAAGGTTTTTTAGTTCTCGCGCCCCACTCCCTGGGCTCAATTCGGATCAATTTCCACTTCGACCCATGGTTTTTATCACGAGTGGGATTATTAATACAAAGTTCGATCGACGACTGCAACCTCTAACAGTCGATTTATCAATCATAACTTTCTGCAGGAGCCGATCTTACTCGTAAGGGCCCGAAGCCGGGCTAAAAGTATCAGATTACTGCATCCAAAGCGGACGCGAGTCTCAATTTCGCTGTTCGGCAACATTTTCCTTGTTTTTTGGCCATCTTAGCTTAAGATGAAACAAAGCAGACTGCGGCTCTAAACATAAGAAAATTTAAACGGCTTTCTGAAAAGAACTAAAAAAGACTTCAACTTGATATTTCACATGTTCCAACATTCATCTTTAGAAGTAATAAGCCGTTGAATCAGTAGTGTGATTTAGACTAAATGTAGAATAATTAACTAACTTAAAGAAACAAACGATGACATATGGCAAGAAAATTTGCATACAATGAGAAACAGCACGGAAGCTAAAAAAGGTAAAGTTTTTCATAGCACTGCAGACAATTTACGCCCAGCGATGATTGTGATCAGAGAAGTTAAAAACCACATTTCTAATGAGTTGTCAGTTCATTTCAACCTTGCTTACATGTTCGGACGACAGAAAATTGAATTTGTGGTACGTGATTCGTTATAGGATTACAGCACGATCAGACAAAGACTTCGGTGAAGGGGATTTAGGCCGCTGTTTCCCGTAGAGGCCCCTGCTGGTATTTCAAGAATAAAATATTAAAACAGGACACGGCTGCGATATGGGAGGAGAAAATAGGCGGGAAATTGTCCTCCGCGCGCTTTCTTCCCCTCCTCAATAAAGTTGCCTCTGCTTGGAGAGGGACCAGTTCAAACGCAATAATTATAATATAAAAACAATAATAAAACTTATATAGCGCCGATTGTTGCTATTTTCATCAGCGCTTAAAAAAAAAACAGAAAAAGTGCATGAACCTACCAAAAAGTTAAAACAATAAGGGACCGTTCATTTTTTAAGAGAGAGGGGGGGCTGGTGGGATTTGGGGGGGGGGAGCACTCGAAAAAATTGGCTTGAAAGGGGGGGCCAGCCGAAAAAAAATGAAGGAAAGGGGGGGGGG